TTGAGATGTTATTTTCTTCAGTGCTTTTTGTTTTTTAAGCAATCTGTTGACTCTTTTTTCATGATTTTTTTGTATCATTCTCATTTTTCTTTCCAATTTTTCCTCTGCTTCTCTCACTTGATTTTTAAAATCCTTTTGGAGCTCTTCCACGGCCTAAGACCAATTCATATTTTCTTTGAGGCTTTGGGTGTAGCAGTTTTGACTTGTTTGTGTTTTGATCTTCCCTGTCATCATCATAACTTCCTATAGTCAGGATCTTTTTCTGCTGTTTCCTCATTTTTCCAGCCTATTTCTTGACTTTTAACTCTATGCTAAAGTAGGACTCCTCTTCCAGAGTGGAGGGGCCACTATTCCAAGCTTCAGGTTTTTTGTGTATCTATTTCAGAGATAATTCTGGGGACCTGTAAATTTTTGGTTCTTCCAAGGTGGTATGATCTTGGGAGAGGTGTTTACTGCTCTCCTGGCCTGTGCTCTGGTCTGCGAGTGACCACAAGCCTCTTTTCCACCCTGGAACTGTGACCAGGGTCCCAGCTCCCCTGTGTCCATAAGGTCTGGTTTGCTAGTGCCCCTCCTTGCCCTGAGACTCAGATCTAGGACTGTAACCCATATCCATATATGGGCAATGCAACAGAGTCCTGCCCCTGTCCCAGTAAAGGGACCCCTGTAATCTCCTTCTGACTAGTTGTCTGATACCCTTACCATCTATGAGCTGAGAGATCTGGAAACTCTCACTGCCACCACTGATTCAGTTGCCTCCAGTGCCTACTGCTGGTTTTGCTGGAGCATGGACTGTGCTGGGGCAGTCTGTGCTGCACTGAGCTCACTTCTCATCCCAGTGCAACAGACCTTTCCTGCTGACTTAAGTAGTCTTGGGCTAGTCCTTTGTGGGTTCTGCCACTCCAGAATTTGTTTTGAGTCATACTTTAAAGTTTTTTGGAGGGGTTTTGGGGAAAGCTAAGGCAAGTCTTGGTTCCATCTCCCATGTAAGGCCTTTCTGAAACTATTTAATAATTTCTAATTAATGAAATGTGATATTCCATTACGTTCATATAACATAATTTGTTCAGCCATTTTCCAGTTGATGGAAGCTTCCTTTTTTTTTTCCCAATTCTTTGCTACAGTAAGTACCACTGTATGTATTTTTGTACATATGTGCCCTTTCCTTCTTTCTTCTGTCTCCTTTTGGAGTATATGCCTACTAGTGGTATTGCTAGGTCAAAGGAGAGGTACAGTGTAGTGACTTTGGGGGCACATTCCAAAATGCTTTCTAGAATGGCTGGATCAGTTCACAGCTCCACCAGCAATACATTAGTATGCCTGTCCTCCCACAACTCTTCTAATAATTGTCATTTTCCTTATTTGTCATCTTTGAAAATCTGATAGGATTTGGAGCATTTTTATATGGCTATTGATAATTTGGCTTTCTTCTTTTAAGAACTTCCTGTTCATATTCTTTAGCCACTTAATTATTAATGAATCAGTTCTCTATATAATTTCAAATTCAGACTTTTATCAGTGAAACTCACTGCAAATATTTTTTCCCAATTCACTTTTTCCTCCTCTTATTTTAACTACATTGCCTTGTTCAGAACCTTTTCGATTTTTTATGTATTCAGAGTTGCCCATTTTATCTCCTGTGATCCTTTTTATCCCCTATTTGGTCAAGAACTCTTTCCCTCTCCATAGTTGGGAAACCTGTATTTCCTTCCTATCTCTAATTTCCTTATAATATGACCTTTTATATCTAGGGCATGTGTCTATTTGCAGCTTGTTGTGGCATATGGTATGAGGTGTTCATCTAAGCCTAATTTTTTTCAGACTTCTTTTTATTTTCCCTAGCAGTTTTTTGAAATACCAGATCCTTGACTCAGTAATTTGTGTCCTTGGGTTTACCAAACACTCTTCTACTTTGTTCCCATCTCTCTGGATCATGTGTACCTACTCTGTTCCATTAATCAACTTGTCTATTTTTAAAAATATTACTAAATTATTTTGATAACTACTGCTTTGTTGTATATTTTGAAATGCAGTACTACTAGCCAACTCTTCTTATATTGTTCATGATTTGCTTTGATGTTCTTGATATTTTGTGCCTTCGTGTGAATTTTTCCTAGTTTTATAAAGTAATCTTTTGGTTGTGTGATTGGTATAGCACTGAGCCTGTGAATTAATTAGGTAGTATTGTGATTTTTATTATATTAATGACTCAACCATGAGTAACTAATTCATCTCTAATTTTTAAAGTCTTCCTTTATTGCTGTAAATATTACTTTATGGTTTTGGTTTTACAATTATGATGTATGTCTTGGTATGTGGACTCTCAGATATTTTATGAAATTAACAGTAATTTTGAATGGAATTTTATTTTCCGTATCATTCTGCTAGGGTTTTTTTTAATAATGTATAGAATGGCTATTGATTTTTGTGGGTTAATTCTGCTATTTTACTGAAGCAGCTCATTGTTTCTATTTGGGGACATGGAGAGGAGGAGGGAACATATTCTAGGTATTGGGAACAGCTAGTACAAATGCATCTATGTAGGAGGTAGAGTAGCAAGTTTGAAAAATAGCTAATTAGTTCAGTCTGGCTATAACATAGAGTTTGTGAAGGAAACTAATGAGAAATAAGGAGGCAGGGGGAGGGAATAAACATTTATTAAGTGCCTACTGTGTGCCAGGCCTTCTGCTAAGTGCTTTGCAAATAGGATCTCATTTGATGCTCACAAGAACCCTGCAAGGTATTGAGCTCAGGTCTTCCTAACTGCAGAAATTAGACTGGAATGATAGGTTGGAACCAGATTTTAAAAGTTGTCAAATTACAGGTGGAAGATTTTGTATTTTAACGTAGGGGAATAGGAAACCACTGAAGTTTTTTGAGCATCTGAGTGATGTGGTTATTCCTGACAAAAATTATTTTACAGGATGGGGTCAAGTGTGTATAAACAATAAATAGCTAACTGTTAGTATTCAGTATTTGGAGGATTAGAGAGAATCAGAACAATGGAGTCCTTTACTGACCAGGCTGTTGATCTGTTCTTTACTTTAGGGTCCCTTGAGTACCCTATTGTGTCAGGCTACACTACAAAGTGGAACTGTATATGAAGTCCTTTCACACTGTACTGCCAGAGGCTAGTTGATTATTGTTCAACCACTCACTTTAGAGGAAAAAAAAATTATTCAGACCAAGTGTCCCATATATACAGGACATTTCATTGCTGCCTACTACACATTTACCTTATTTCACAGATTTTCCAGAATCTCTAGGTTAGAATTCAGAGATTTCAGAGACTACGTAGGCCAACCCATACCTGAATAGTAATCTCTTGTGGAACAAGTCTGACAAATAATCATTTAGTTTTTGCTTGAATACCTCTAGCCAGAAACTGTCCACTTCTTCCAGAGGCAGCCCATTCCACTTTTGGACAACACTAATTGTCAGGGGTTTTTCCTTCTATTAAGCCAAGATCTCTTTCTAGACAGCCTCTCCCCAGTGTTCATAGGGCCACTGATTGGAGCCAAACAGAACAATTGTTGTACCTCACAGAGCTTCGGCAAGTACTTGAAGACAAATAACATATTATCCTCAGAGTCCCTGAGTCTTCTCAAAGCTAAATTGTCCTATTCCTTCATCAGATCCTTGAGTAACATGATCTCAGATCCTCCCGGTCATGCCTTTGGATGTACTTCACCTTTTCATTGTCCCTAAAGTGTGGTGCCCTGAGCTGTACATAGTACCGCAGATGTTGTCTATTTGACATGGGCAGAATGTAATCCTCCAGGAATTTTTCACCCTTTATCAGTAATTTACCTAGTCTCCAATGATACTAGAACTGTGGTTAAACTGTTTCATTTTTCAGTAGACACTCCATTATCTTCCCTACCCCCATTCTTAATACAACACAGATACCATTACATTGGAAATTTATCTCATTATATCCCAGACAGAACATATTAATGTTTGTACATTTCTCTCTGATGGACTATGGGCAGTGCCTGACAGAAGCTACTCTGAACGCTGAAATGTAAAAACAACAACAAAAGAAGTTGGGAGGCTGAGTAACTAACAAATACCTAATTGTTGTTAATCAGTATAACTGTTGCCTTTCAAGCTAGAACTTCATGTCAAGCCTTATTGAAATTTATCTCAAGCACCCCAGAGCAAAATGCAGCCCGAGTTTAGACTGGAAGAGTAAGTCCTATATAATAAAATCACCCAAGGTAAATTCAGATTTAGATAAGGTTTAGATAAGAAAGGGAAGAAGGCAGGAAACAAGCATTTATTGAGCGCTTACTGTGTGCCAGGCACTATGCTAAGTGATTTATAAATTTTATCTTACTTGAAACTCATAATGACCTGGGGAGGTAAGTGCTGTTTTTATCTCCATTTTACAGTTGAGGAAACTGAGGCCTACAGAAATTAAATGATTTGCTCAGGGTCACACAGCTAGCAAGTATCTGAGGCAAAATTTGAACTCCAGACTTTATGGTTTCAGACTCTGTGTTCTACCCACTACTCTTATATGGTACAATATACCGTTTAGTATTTGACAGTTCTTTCCAAATTCAAGAAGTTAATCTAAATCGACAAAATCAAAGGCAGAAATAATTTCACTTGATTATTTACATTGTAGAATTGAATCTTGCAAGATTTCTCAAAGTTACTATATACGCTTTACTTGTTGGGATGCTGGAATGATTACTTTGCTCTGAATTCCTCAACAGCTCTTAAGATACTGTACTCTATGACAGATATTATAATATACTTTACTGTAATATAATATAGATTGTCATATTTACAATATAAAAAAGTGATTTGTAAATCACTTAGCACAATGCCTGACACCTAGTAGGTGCCATATAAATATTTATTCCCTTCCCCCCTAATTTAGTCATAGTTGAGACTTGAACTTGTTTATCGAGTTCTTAAGAGGTGGGGTGGAGAGGGAGGAGTAGAATATTTTATTGAAAACTGTGTTTTTCTAATGTGCTCTTTTTAAACAGATAAAAGTAGAACCAGTTGTTCCAGCCCCATCACCAGTTATTCCCCGACTGACACTACGAGTAGGTGCTGGCCAAGACAAAATGTAAGTACAAAGAGCTTTGAATCAAAGAAGAAAAAATAATTCTTTCATAATTTTCTTAAACTTAATCCTTTTCTAAATTTTATCTAAAGTTCCATGAAACCTTTGGATTTGCAATCATAAAATCCTTTTTTGGTGTATTTTATTTAGTATATTTCATTCAAAAAAATTCTAGATTGTTTTATATGCTTCTTCATATGTAGCTACTTTTGCTGATTTTGATCTTACAGGGTTTTTTGTTGTCATTTCAAGACTGGTATAAGGCACTTTTAAAATAGAGCATAAAATAAAATCTGGTGTGATAGATTTTTAGGGAATCTGTAAACTGTGATAGGAAAATTTTATATCTTCATTTTTACTAACCTTTGGTTTCTTTTGTAATCTTTTGTATTTTATGCAATTAAAAACCTTATTCTGAGGAGGGATTTATAAGCTTCTTCAGATGACCAAAGGGGTTCATGACACAAAAAAGGTTAAGAATTCCTGAACTAGAGAATGAAATGCCATATAATTAATGAATTTGTGGATATAATGTTATGTCTTCTTAAGTACTTATTTTATAACATCACAGCAGAGAAAGAATATTCTTTTCTAGCTCAAGTAGTAAATGTTTTTGCTTTTGTAGGAAAGAGACAAAAGTCCAACAAAGGCTTGATTAGACACATTATATGAAAAATAATAACTGAAGCCCTCAATGACTATTAAGAAACAAAACAAAGTTGGAAATGTGAATCCAGGTTTTTAAATTATACTGAATGCTTTACACTAAGTCACTGGATCAACCACCCCTTATTTCAAATTAAGGAATTAGTGATTTGTATTTCCTCTCTTTCTGTGTTTTTAGCATCGAAAACTCATACATGATGTATTAATGAAAAAATAAAACCCTCACATGGTTAATGTCAGAAATGTGTTTTGTAAACTTAACCATTATATAAATGTTAGTTATTACTTTAAGCAAAAAAGGAAAATCAGTCTCATTACTTTGGTGTCACATAAGATATCTTTCAGTAGAATTCCACATATTAAGAATCTAATATATATAAACATGTCCCAATTTTTGTTTCTTAGACAAAATCTTAAACCAGAATAGGTTAAACTGTGAACAACCAAAGATTAGTAGAGAATAGATTCCCAAGGCATTCAACTACCATTCAATTTATAGCCATGAAAATTGGTTGTGTCCCTGAATTGGGCCTAAGAATTTACTTAGGATAGGGAACAGAAAATTGGGCTTCTCACATTCTCAGTGGTTCATTTCATCCAAAAGGCATTCTGCAGTCTTCTACTACTTTATCTGCCGTTTCCCAGTAACATGCACCAAAGTACTACAGTGTGGCCACAGGTAGCAAAGGCTCTTTTATGTTTAAAAACATTTTTTTTGAACTTTTTTCAACAAAAATCTTTTCTTTCCCTCATTGAAAGGAAGGAAGGAAGGAAAAAAAAAATACTTTTTTTTTCTTTTAAAAAACAAATATGCGTTGGCGAGCCAAACCAATTCCTGCATTGTCAATGTGCAAAAAATAGATGTCTTCTTCTACATCCTGAATTCATCACCTCTCTGTCAAGTGTTAGGTAACATACTTCAACATTAGTCTGCTGGAATTGTGGTTGGTCATTGCATTAGTCAGAATTCTTAAGGCTTCCAGTTATTTATCTTTGCAGTGTTGTTGTTATTGTATAAATAGTTCTCTTTGTCCTGCTTATTTCACTCATTATCAGTTCATACAAGTGTTCCCAAATTTCTCTGAAACCATCCCTTTCATCATTTCTTATAGTCCAGTAATATTCTGTTACATTCATGTACCATAATTTGTTCAGCCATTCCTCAAAAGAATGGAAACCTTATTAGTTTCCAGTTCTTTGTCACCACAGAAAGAGTAAGAATAAATATTTTGTACATATGAGTCCTTTTCCTCTTTTGCTCATCTTTTTGGGGTGTAGAGCTTTTAGTGGTATTGCTAAATCAAAGAGTAGCTATGGTTTAGTAACTTTTTATGCGTAGTTCTAAATTGCTTTGCAGAATGACTGGACCAATTTACAATTCTACCAATAGAGTGTTAATGTACTTGTTTTTCTGTAGTCCTTCTAACATTTGTCATTTTCCTTCTTTGTCAATTTTGCCAATCTGGGGAATATGAGATGGTGTTCAGAGCTGATTTAGTTTGCGTTTCACTAACTATTGATGATTTAGAGCCTTTTTTTTTTTTCATTGACTACTATTGGTAGCTTGGATTTCTTTCTTTGGAAATGACCTACTGTAATTTTTTGACCATCTGTCAGTTATAGAGGCAAAGTCTGTTTGTGAAAAGGACATAATCCTCTAGAAATGGAAATGAAGAAAAAAATCACAATTTTTTTAAAAGCAGGTGCTGTTGCTGAAATTGTGTGGGCAATTGTCCCTATTTTCTTTTTAGTTTTGATAATACAGAGCTGCTAGTGGGGGGCATTTCCACTAAAAGGCTTAGAAAATATAATAGAAATGTTATTGTGCATTGAACCTCTTTCCAGAAAGGTCTGAAGTGTACAGTTTTCTCCTCACTTCATAAGTCAAGAACGATCCACAACTGTCAATTCATTGGGGGACAAATGAGCAAGGAAGTGGTCCTCTCTAGAAATAACACACTAAAGAAACTACTTACCATTTCTGTAAATGTTTGCTAGTCTTTCTTGTCAAAGGGAAACTATTTCTTCAACAGATACCTCATATCCTAACTTTTAAAAGAATTCTGCACCAGCTATTTAAGCACATATGATAGATCACTTAGACTGATGGTTCTCACTAAAGAAGCAAGGCATAGATATATTTGCCATGGAAAATTATCTGAGGTTGGTCTTCAGCACCAAGAAGAATATCCATTGCCTTTTTGATCTTCTTTTACTGGAACTTTTTTTCCCCCTCTCTTTCAGTAAGTCACTACTTGCCAATGATATTGGAAACCTTGCAGTTCTGTTTCAGAACTGAGAATTCCCAAGGATTCTATAGCCAAATTTCTCTTGTAGTTCTAGTACTTTGATAGCAATGAGATTCCACCTACAAGCACATACACTTTAAGAAAGAATTATTGATGCCTTTTGTTTTTACATTATTATCATACCTTGAAGTATTTCCCTCCCCAAGTTGAACCTTCCCTTGTAGCAAAACAAAAAAAAATTCTGACAGATTATACAACATTCTGACTTGTAGTGCCTCACCTTGTACTGATTGGGCTTATTTTCAGCTCTCCAGGGCCTTGAGTGGTTTTTCATTTGTTAGTGTTTGGCTTCCTTTAAGTGATCTTTTCATTTATATTTTTGTATTCTTTATGTACTGCCTTCTTAGTTCAGTCTGCATCAATTCATGTAGATCTTCCAATGTTTCTCAGAATTCTTCCTATTTGTCATTTCTACATAATAGTATTCCGTTGAATTCATATGCATAAGCTTTCAGCTATCCTCAGTTAAATAGTAGTTACTTTTTTCCAGTTTTTTTTTGTTTCTGTGTGTGTGTGTGTGTGTGTGTGTGCATACATACATATATACACACACATTCATATATGTGTTGGTGTATATATGTGCACATACATATAAACACACGCATATACCTTTGCTTTTACCTTTGATCTCTTTTCCAACTTGTGGGGATTGTTGATGTGGGATGTGAATGATTTTTAGACATTTTTCTTTTCTTGCCTAATTCCAAATTATTATCCAGAGCAGTTGGACCATTCATAGCCACTGCTTCCCCCCCACCAACAGTGTGTCACTATGGTATTTTCCCATTTGGAGAACCAATGTTGTGAGTGACTTAATCCCCCATTTCATGTGAGACCTGAAGTATTTAGCCAAAGACAAATAAAGGAAAATCCTTCAGTGCTTCCACCAATTGTTTTTTTGTGAACAATTAAATAAACTAATAAGCCAGATATACTTTGATAGCATGGTTCTTTGTGCAAATTTGATTTTTTTTTTGGAAGAGGCTTTTTTTTTTTTTAAGATTTTTAGGCAATTGGGGTTAAGTGACTTGCCCAGGGTCAAACAGCTAGTAAGTGTCAAGTGTGTGGTCTTAGGCCAGATTTGAACTCAGGTACTACTGACTTAAGGGTTGGTGCTCTATCCACTGCACCACCTAGCTGCCCCCAAATCTGGTTTTTTAAGTGATGAAAAGTAAGGTGTTATTTTAAATTTTATTTTATTTTAGAAAATTTATTTCCTATTTAGTCCCTATGTGGGAACCTATTCATTTTTTAAAGTATTCCTTTTTAAAAATTTATTTTTAAACCTATTTTTATAAGTATTTTTATCTCCCTTCTCCCATCTTCCTCCTTCTGCTAACAGAACAATAAAAAAAACCTCACTGTAAGTATCCACAGTCCAGCAGAACTAATCCTTATATTAGCCATAGCAAAATATGCATGTCTTGTTCTGAATTTTAAGTCTGTCACCTCTCTAACAGAAGGTAGGAGGCATGATTTATCTTTAGGCCTCTGGACTCATGGTTTATTAATGCATTAATCAGAATTCTTACTTCAATTTGTATCAGATCATAGAAGTCTTCCAAGTTTCTTATGAAACTATCCATTTCATCATTTCTTATGGCACAATAATATTCCGTTATATTTTTATGGCACAGAAAGCGCTGCTATAAATATTTTTGTACATATGAGGCCTTTTCCTCTTTCTTTGATATTTTTGGGCCTATTAATGGTATAATTGGGTCAAAAGATATGCACCATTCAGTAGCTTTTTGAATTCCATTCCAAATTGCTTTCCAGAATGGCTGGGCCAATTCACAACTCTACCAATAATGTATTAGTGCACCCATTTTTTCCAAGGCCCTTCCGGTAGTTTTCATTTTCATCTTTTGTCATCTTTGCCTATCCAGTGGGTGTTAAGTGGAACCTCAGAGTTGTTTTAATTTGAATTTATCTAATTATTAATGATTTGAAGCACTTTTATATGACTATTGTTAGATTGGATTTCTTCTTCTGCAATTCTGTTTATTTCCTTGGACCGTTTATCTA